AGTATGAATTTTTTTGATTGAAGAGTTAGGTCTCATTCTCCATAGTTAATGCAGGATTGCTCATACCTTAAAGAAACAACAAAAATAGTCACAACCAGATACACACACACACACACACACACACACACACACACACACAAAGAAAAACAAAACAAAACACTGAAAGCAGAACTGTGTACCTGAGGAAGCAGGGGACCAAAACAATGACAGACACACTGAACCAAGCATTGCTCATATCTAATGTTGTAGTCGTCCTCCCTGCCTCACCCCATTTAGGCCCTCTCTCATCTTGTCTTTTAATGTATTTCTTACTTTCTTTACATCATTTTTTTAAAACTTTAGCATCTCAATTTAGTGATTAAAAAACCCATAAAAGTTAATTTACCTGATAACTAACAGCACATTAAGAAAAAGAAACCAACAGTATGTTAACGTGCACTGTAAGATGAGAAACATAAATGTTTCTGGAGGAACGACCCCACCCCTCACTGCTTTGTTTCTAGGAAAACTGGTGTTCAAAGGAAGAATAAATACCATCAATTACAGTCTAGGTTATACTTGATCCTTCCCACAGACTGGAAAGTGAAATGGTATGTTTGAAAGTGAGAGACCACATTACAATACTCAGATCACAGGGATCTTCAGAGAGAATCTGTATTCTTTAACAGATTTCCTAAAGAATCCTTATTTTTTAGGAGAATGTGGCTGATTCAATTTTAAATAATAACTAGAATTTTTACTCAGAATTGTATGTTTTCTACTATCACTAAATCCTAAAGATATTTCAAATAAATCACTAAACACTTTGAAATATAATGAATCAGTGTGTGAATTTGAAAAAAAAAGTAAGAAACAAATAAAAGTGTAAAATAGAATGACTGAAATTATTCAATCTGGATTTTCTGGAAGACAGTATGTAGGTTTATGGGTTTTGCATTCATTTGTAGGGATGCTGCACACACCTGCATTATAATCACACCATTCCATGTAACTATTATCAACACCAATACTTTAAAGATCAAGAGGCGGACTCTCCAAGCCTTTAGGAGACTTAAATGCACTAAGATGGGATTTGTGATCAGGTCTGAGTCCCAGACCTCGCTGTTCTTTGATACTGACCTATAGTGGCAGAAGTAATCAAAAGATCAGCAACAGTATGGGAAATGTGGGCTAGGAAGAAGTCACAGGCAGCAGAAGATATGGTACTTATGTAATTGCTGTAGATATTCTGAAACTGCATCACAATCTTTACAAAAGACAAAGCTGCAAAATCTAAGGTCCTTTCCAGCAGGTACTTTTCAATCTTTTGAGTTTGTTGCATTCTTTCATTATCTGTACTTTAAAATCTGAATCTTTTTCTATCATTTTCATAACATACTATGGTTCTTTAACCCAGAAAAAAGTCACTGCAGTGGATCTTTTGCAAAAGGATTTTCTACTGCTAACAGGTATTAATCAAAGTACTGCACAAATAGAAATTATTTGAAAATAATCCTAATTTTGTGATGGGAGCCTGACTCTACAGGAAAGCACAAAACCGAACAAACCTTTAACTTTTAAAAATAAAAGGCAGCAAAAGACAGATAAGCAGTCCCTCACCAGCTTTGCCTTTCCCAGAGTTTGAGCCGCTCTCTGTCCAAGACTGAGAATCCGTAAGAAGGTGGCTCTGGGATTCTCTCAACAGCTTGGCAGGAAACTGATGGTTTTCAGGACTAACAAATAATAATCAGAATCACAAATTAACTTTAGTCAACACTGTTGAATATTTCTCGTAAGTATGGAACTCAGACCACTTGTAATGCAAGATGCTTAAAGGAGGGGCCCAAGATAATCAGAGGACTACAAGAAGGGATTCACTGACCCTGAGTCCCCAGAAGAAAATCATTCTGTCTCCACTCTTGCAGTCCCCTGCTTATGATAAGATGAAAATCTCTAGCTCTGGCAAATTTCCATTTTTAATACAGAGAAAAGTTCTCAGACTCAAAGTTTGGCATGAAAGAGAATTTAGTTATAACATACTAGCAGTATTTTATTATTTACTTTTTAAAGTTGTATTTCATTTATAACAAATAGTACTAGTTTCTCACTTATGATAGTGATGTGAAGTTGATTTAAAAATAAAATCAAGGGCTAGGGATATGGTTCAGTGGATAAAGCACTTGCCGTGCAATGTGAGGACCAGAGTTCAGACCGTCAACACCCACACAAATGCCAAGTGGATGTGTTGGCCCACCTGTAATTCCAGCACTCAGAAGACTGAAATAGGCTTTCCCTGAAGCAAGCAAGCTAGCTAGACCAGCCAAAACAGTAAGCTCTGCTCTGGGAGATCGTGCCTCAGTGAACAAGGTGGAAAGAGATCAAGGAGGACTCCTTGGGCCTCCACGTGCACATGCACGTGCAACTGTGCACATGTATATACCCCACATATGTGAACATGCATATGTAATACACACTACAAAGACACATGCAAATAAGATTAAGTGCCAAGTTAAAGAAATACGTATTAATTTTATTAGATGCCATGTGGATATGGAAAAATATGAAGGTGAAGGTAGGAAGAAAAAATTGAGGAAGAAAAATAGCCTTTGTGTTTATGAACTGACCTGAATAGGCTTGAAAAAAATCATTCCATTTCCTTAACTTAAACAACAAATTTGAGCGATATCTATAGGAATGTTAAAAACATCTGATATCATCAGGTCTTAGAAGCCTGAATTATAATTTGGATACGTGAGGAGCCTTGAAAGAAGAATTTAAAAAAAAAATTTATGTAGATCTGCTACATAACAGCATATTCAATGGTGTGGGAAAATATAAATGAAATACTATTTCATTTAGGGGCATGTATTAGCACAGACATCATTTTAGAATATCCTCAAATGGTAATTATAATAAAAATTTTAAAAGCTACTAAAATCATTCCAAGAATAATTTCATATATTTCAACTGAATATAGTGATTATAGTTTTAAGAATATAAGAATAAGTTTTTGCTCTATATTAACACATTTAAAATTTCATATTTTAATTTGTGGATTTTTTGGTGGCTTTAACACAG